AGTGGGCATTGACTCAGTCGAAGCCGAGGGAGAAGAGGAAGGCGAGGAGTACTAAGGCTGAAACCAACGCTTCATCGCAATCATTGATGTCGCCTTGCTGCTTTATGTGTCCAATGCTCGTTATCATTCGCTTCTACTTTCGTGTCCATTTCTGAGTTAATTTAAAGTGACATCAAATTAAAATATCTCTGTTTTATTTTTCTTTTATTCTGTCTCCTCTGGGAATGTCGTTTAATTGATTTCCTTCGCCTTTAGTGGGTTGATTTTACCAACATTTGGAGTTTACACTTGCCACTGGCGATTGATTCTAGTTAGTAGACGTCTATTCGTGTCTACCTTATTCCGAACACATCTCGATTATTTTACTGTACACGGTAGTCTTCAGGTGTCTTTGGATTTGTCGGTTAGGATGGCTCGTGTAGAAGGGGTAATTCGACTGCATAACTACGGGAAACGATAACCGAACAGGCCTACCCAGCCCATTACGTTACATTCCTAGTTTGCATTTGCCCCTTAAACAAGATTTATAGACAAAAATAGTGTTTTTTTTTTAATTAATAAGCGTTTGCGACCGATGATCTTGCACAAGAAGCGCTCTAACATAGCTTATGAACGCATTCATTGGCTCGTAATTTCGATTAGCTGATTACAGGTTAAATTTAAATTATTGATTTTTATTTGATTGACTTGGGCTTCGTTAACCCCGACGCGATCGATTACGCACGCGCTCCATGCCTAAGGGATGAATAAACAATCGTGTACGTCTTCCTCGCTATCGGGTTCAGTGGCTGTCGGCAGGTACGATTAGACACCCTTTTTAGATAAAATCTTATTGGTCATTGGTTTTTTCCGGTTAAAGGAAACATTGATGATGTCATTTGCCACCACCAAACACGAAGCGGCAAACGATGAGTAAGAGGCAGCACATATCGATTTCTATTCTCGTCGTTGCATCGAATTACATTTCCTAGTCAGCTGAATCCTGCGAATCTAAGTAGAATAACCGCCCAGGGAGAGGTTATCTGAGTCTGGAGTTATTTTCGCCTAACGTGCAATAATTCCCGTTGTTAATTGCGCCCAGTGTTTTGTAGAGCGTTGCTAACATCGCAGCGATTGTTCCGCGTTGCTAAGTTAAGTTGTATGCGTACACACACAACGCACACACATTCACAAAGCCACGTTAAACATGACGACGCGTAGCGAGTCTTCCACTTCTCACCATGGCAACGGAGCGCGTGGGCGCACACGCGCACGCGCACGGGGTTGGTGGGGTATGAAAGTGTACACGCGCGCTTTGGCAATCGATAACCAAGCCCGCGGGCTAAGTTACCGCGCCGTGGCCTACAGCCACCGCCTGCAATGACTAAGCAGCCCGGCCAACGAATGCCAAGTTTAAGCACAAGTACTTAGCTCTCGTTTGAACGACTGTTTTGGCATCAACTGGAACTTGTGACACATTCAGGCGCTTATAAAATCCTTCTTTCCACAAACACACACACCAAACCACGTTTACGCACGGTTTTAATGTGTTTTTTTGCATTTACGTAGTGACAAAACGGAACCATTTTTGTGTGCTTGTGAAGAAGCCCAAACATAGATTTAAATGCGTGTAGTAGTTAGCCACATTCAAAACTTTCGTTTACTTGAAAGCTGGAGTGGCAACGCATATTTATAGGTAAGCGAAAAATTTGGAAATAATGGCGTTTTTGCTTGATTTCACGGAACTCCCACATGCTAAACGATGATAGCAAAACCGGATTTAACAGATGTCTTAGTTAGAAGCTAATGTTCGTGAAGGAATGTCGTTCATTTGGCGACATTTCAGCCCTGTGCCTAAGCGCGGGAAGGCCTGACGGTGCGCGCTAGCCTGGTGTGCTGACTCATCGATTAGGCTGCATACCAAGCGGTTGCATGATGGTGAATCATCGTGTGGCAGCCCTAACCTACACCGAAAACGCCAATTTGTTTTGCAAAATGAAGTGGTTTGGTAAATACGTTCGCGTTTAAATCACGGAGTTCAGAGTGCGCGCTGTCTCCAAAACAATTGGAAGTGCAAATTTTGCGGGCTAGGGCGCCTTAATTTGCTCTCGATTGTAGTAGATATATTATTAGTGGATTCCAGTTCGGACATAAAATTATCGATTTTTAGTAATGCTATGCATAAAAATAACACATTCCACAAGTGGAAGACGAAGGAGCGTTTGCCGGTGAGCCAGAAGGACACATTTTAAATTTCATCCCAACCGTTGGAGGTCCATACGTTAGATAAATGTTATCAGTTTTCTTCCGTTGTTACCGTGACTAATTGATGGTGGATACCACAGAAGTACGCAGTGTGACTCACGCTAAGAAATAATTCACGCACACCCCACAAAGAGTGGACCACCGTAACAACTCGAGGGTAAATAAATAATTTCCCGAACATTGGCTAAAGCTAACGACTTAGTTTGTACTAAAAATGTGTAAGTAGATCGGCTTTTGGTTTTTAAAACATCTATTTTTGTGCTTTAACCTTAATATTTGCTTGCAAGTACATTATAAACTTATTCTAAGCATATGCGAAAGTGCAATCACAGATTACTGCACAAGTTTGAATCATTCCAACGCATAAAATGGTTATGCTTCCAAATGAAAGAAATTAACGGATGCAATTAAACAAAAATATTATAGAATGAAAAAACCGGGGGAAGCCCATGAGCAATTAGATAATCAAAAGCAGACACGTAAAAAATTTTTAATGCTGTAAAGAAATTTGAATTATTGCCTTCACCTTCTCGAATATGGTATTTCAATGTCCTCATTTAGTTAAAAAAGCAAGGTAATTAGAAAAAAACACTGGCTACAAATGTTCTAAAAAGTTTTTCTTTACATAATTAAAAGGCTATTAAATTTCTTATCAATATTGACACATATTGCAAATTGTGAAACGTATTTCTAGTATTTAAATGACATACAGGAAATTCATTCACATGAACTTTACATGGCAAATTTATTATACTGGTTTCTATTTTCAGTAAGTTCAAAAACACTCCTTAGTCCATCTCGAATATCTTAAATAGTGTTTATATCTTACACAGAAATAAATAATGGTGGCTGTAACTACCAAAACAATGTACTAGATTAGAATTAAAAGATGCCTTCTTCCTCGAAATTGCAATTGCGTACAAGACTTGCATTAGTAGACTTTAACAAGCGCATTTACATTCGACGTTCTAACTCTTAAATTAAACACAAATTACTCAGTTTCATATTGCTAAGATCAAAAAACAATTCAATAAAATATAACAGACATTTAAAAAAAAATGCCAATTTTAATTTATTATGCATAAAACCTTATATAAAACTCTCAAATGGATGCCCTTAGCTTTTTTTGACAAGTTGGTTTAAATGTGTTCGCCATAGTGGCGCTTATTTCAGGAAAATGGTTGATCCGTACGGACGGGATGATCAATTTAGATGTTGTATGTACTTTCACGTAAGGACTGGAACCATTGTTTTGGGTGTTCTTCACATCCTATTACAGTTGGTGGTTGTATCCACTCTTCTTATGGTTGCTTTGAAGCACGATGTGGCCACTATTAAATCGCCATTCAATGCAGCTGCCACCTCCAATTGCCAACCGAAAAACCCACGTGAGTTAGTAATGATTTTACGTCGCATTATGCTCATTTTGTAAGCTAATCTCTTTCAATGACGGATTAATTTTTGATGACTACTCAAATTCTTATTTTCGACCAAGTAGCATTCCTTCATTGTGTGCCTTGTTTTACCGCGAGTAGTTAACGGTAGTCGTTGTTTTTGTTAACTCAAACATAAGTCGTTTAATTTCTTTGATTTTTTTCAGCGACAGACATATTCTACATGCTTATGCACATAGTTCCTGGATTTACAATTTTCCACCAATCGCACTCAGATATGTCCACTCGTCTTCGTTTCGCCAATCGAACGGAGCTTAAGAAAGTTCCTCTCACGCCAGACTCGATCGATCCAAGTACCCTACTCGATTACATTATCAGTGGATTTGAAATACCTCCCAAGTACGAAATAGTTGAAGTTGCTCCGCCCACGGAGGATTCGGCGTCAAGTGCAAAAAGGGAAGGACTTAATATCGTTGGTTCTAAGTCGCCTCCCAACCAGCGTTGCGTAGATCGTCGCACTAATGCCTATTTCTCTCTCTGCCTTGCTCTCATTTCACTGGCATTTGGCTACCTTCTGATCCACGGTGTTATTTCGCGTCAACCTGCTCATCTGCTGCCATTTTTCTGCCTCCAAGTGTTCGATTTTGTCGTTGCTCTGATATGCATGCTGGGGTACATGTCATCCGCTTCAGACATCAGCCATTGGCTCAAATTCAAAATCGCTAGCCACGTAAGCAACGCTGATTTCATTGCATTTGGTAAAACTTTGCTAGGCTACTGGCATGAGTAAGCAACCAGATGCTTATCATTTCACTCCAGTGGGTATTGTTTTAAGCTTACTGAACGGTTGAGTTTGTTCTTTGTCTCTTCCTCCACAGGAAGGTGTTCCTGCTTCGTCGGTCCACTTGAATTCTACATCTGTTTCGCTTATTCTGATCTCGGCTTCTTGTCTCATCCTCGCCTTCAAAGCTTACTGCATCGGCATGGTGTGGGATTGTCATCGCTATCTCCTGTTTACGAATCGCCATGGTATTCTCACTGGAATGTCCTTTTCGGCAGCTCCCAGGTTCCCCTTCGGCTTGTTTGGTCGACGTCCGCTCGTGCTTTTTCGCCGGAATCGTCGTGGGAGCAGGGGAGGTAGCGCTGGGAACGACCTAACCACTGCTAGCGGATTGACAACGGGAGTGTTTGCTGATGGAATTATAACGGAGCCTCCAAAGGATTCGGAACTCCCCAAGTATGAGGTAAATGTCTTTCCTTTCACATCTTTCGCCCCCGAGTGTAGAACGAGGGCTATGACGCTGATGAATCCCCCAAACTTCCGAAACGAAGAAGGTCAAAATTTATCTCATTCCCACGAGCCTCTGCCTGCAAAATCCGTTTAATTGGCTCTTTTCACTCCGTTTCAGGAAGCCCTGAGTATTCCTGCGAATGCCTACGCACCACCACCGTATTTCGCGGGTAAACCAACGTCAACTTCACCTGATAGCACCAAAGTAAATCTGCCAACTTCGAGCGTCGATAAAGGACCATCATCGGGTCCGGCTGACGTGTAACCTGCTTCTGGTTGGTTGACCCTCACTAAATTCTCTCTCCCTCACTCACTCGATCTCCCAATTCACGTGTGTACCATTGTGTGGGTATGTGTTTATGTGTGTGTGCGTGTGTGCGTGCATGCTGTTGCAGCACGTCCAAACACTTATTCTTTGCCCAATTTTGACGTTATTTTCTCCCACCATAGATTTCAAATTGTCTTCGTAAACTTGGTTTTCAGAAAAAAATAACAATGCTTTTTGTTCCAAGTTCCGATGTGAGAGGCTGATATTGTCACTTGTTAGAGCAGTTTCAGAGGTTTAGATTCTGGGATAAACAATATGTCCCAACATCGCCCGCCTCCTTCTTCGACTGGAACTATACGAATTGGTCATGTAGTTGGTTCGTTTTACATTCCGCGAAGGTTTTATCAAAGTCGGGTAGGTTGCAAATGTGTGGTACACCGTTCAGTGGTCAGTTTTCTCAATATTCTCAATAGTTTCCATCCAAACCTAGCTAGGTATCTCTGAGATTCGGAACCGCGTAGTGCTGTGTTTTGATTTCTTGAAGGGTTTGAATTTCTGACATTGGAATCTGCAACGAATTGGCGCATCACTAGCCTGCCATTTAGTTCTCAGTTTGTGCGGTACAGTAAGTCACCGTATCGATTTGAGACCTGCAAATAATGACCCCTGGCTTGCCATTGGTCGTAACTAACGGTTAGAGCGTCAAACGACCTAGAAACGACACATCAGTTCCCGAGGCGGGCGTTCTCATAGCCACCAATCGACTATGTTACTGTGACAGCATCAGCCACTAAAGCTGATTCTCGATCAAT